TGCTCCATTATCTTCCCTGGGACAGACGTTAAACTGACCGGTCTATAATTTCCTGGGTTGTTCTTATTCCCCTTTTTATAGATGGGCACAATATTTGCCCTTTTCCAGTCTTCTGGAATCTCCCCTGTCTGCCATGATTTTTCAAAGATCATAGCTAAAGGCTCAGATACCTCCTCTATCAGCTCCTTGAGTATCCTGGGATGCATTTCATCAGGACCTGGTGACTTGCTGACATCTAACTTTCCTACGTGATTTTTAACTTGTTCTTTGTGTATCCTATATATAACTTCTTTTAACCTCTAGGTTTAATACTAAAAGAAATCATTAATTTGTCAAATATGGTTCTTTGAGTTCTATTCTCCAAAGCACAGATTTCATTGTGTGGTTCACCACCGAGGTGTTAGGAGGAGGTGAAAGTTTTTCCAGCAAGAGAAGAAAAATGTCCTAGAATCACTGATACAGACAGCAGTGATATTGTCCTCTGAGAGTCCATGCAACTTTATCTATTCTGAACTCCAATTCATTATGTAGATGAGACAATGCTGACATTTTCTGCTTGTATCTTACTATGTTGCAAGCGCTTGCCTTTTACATGGAGTGTTAATCACTATACCTCTTTTTACTGTAACTGGTACATGGGCACAAAGAACATAATTTGAATCATGCTGTGAAACACCTATGTCCATAACAAAAGTTCCTCAGGTAATTCAGAGTGATAACTTGATTTGAGTGTGAGGGGAATAGTAGAAAAGCTCTGAATAACCAAGACTATGTCCCTTATAAAGAATGCTGGAATACCTGAAAAGAAAAAATGCCACTGCAAAATAAAATATACCTCATTTCCAAGGTATACAAGGAGCCTAACAACTAGTCCTTTCAGAAGTTAGCCATTAAAAAAAATCTCAGCAATATGCGTGTAGCAAGCGTGGTATTTTCTAGGTATTTGTGATAATAGCTACATGTGAGGCTAGTTCTCTGCACATCTGATAGAAGGAACATTGGGCCTTTTTTCTTTTCATTGTAGCTGCTGACAGCTTAGTTGGCTGTTATCACTTTTTGCGAGGTCTGAAGCTAAAGGGTGCAGTGCACCAAGAAAAAAAATCCAGGTTCAAACATCTCCAGGCCTCCACTTCTCTTGCTTATATTGGATATATTTTCAGGAATTAGTGAGAACAAGGGAAAGGGACAGAGAGATTATTAAAGCTCCTGGAGGAAGCTAACAATTTCTCAGATCACAAGATCTCATCGTTTTTAACTGTGGCAGTCATATCAAAATAGAGGGGTTGTCTTATGGTCCTCTCCACTCCCATCTGCCATCTCACAAAGCATTTTCCACTTCAATAGTGGTGTAAGTATAGCATTTCCCTCCCTTTTGCACTGATGAGATATCCCTAGGGAAATACAATTGCTACAAGTGAAAGTACTTTTAGCAATGTATTTTAAGCCAAAATACTTCCTATGCTATCTGAGCAATCAGCAATCTACTGAGTGAGATCAAATGTAGAGTGAGAATCCAATTCAGCTAAGCATTTTTGCACATGCTTAACTCTCAGCACATCCATAAGCGCCATTGAAGTTAAATACTTTGCTGTAACAGGGCCCATATGTGGTGTGTCAGGAACTCAGCTGCCTATGAGTTTAGTTGCCTAGCAACCCAGTGAGCTTGGCTGGGTCCAATAAACCCTCATGTTTCAGGCATTATGCTCCCTGGTTGGTCAGGAGAGCCAACAGATCACCATTTAAAACCTGTAGTAATGGCAGTACGATGGCTATTCACTGTATTCTAGGCTTGGAGCTGTGTCAGACTTGTGCCTTGTCTGGTCCACTCCAGTCCTAGTTCCTGTTTACCTCTGAACTCCTGCATCTGAATAGGGCTTTTTTCCCCTTCAGCTCTGCCTTTTGCTTCTGTGGTTGCTCCTGGCTCTGACTATTGCCTTGTCTCCTCACTGGTTCAGAGTTTGCTCTGGCCAGTAGGTTGCACTGCCTCAGGGCATGAGGCAGAGCTAACAGCTTGTGCTTTCTATACAGTGACAATGTAGCTGTGAAAAAACCTCTTTGGAAGATAAGTTGGTCTCCAAAGAAAAGGCAATGTTTTAATAAGCCCATGTTTGCATAATCTTCAACTAGAGAAGGACCCGAGCAATGCCAGGTAAATCAACTGAAATATTTTTTGTATTTCTTCATTTAAATCCATTGCTCTGGAGTGGGGCTGGAGATGAGGGGTTTAATATGCAGGATGTGACAGGGAGAGATCACTCCAACCCTCTCTCGCTACAGCAGCTTGGGGCCAGGTGAGAAACCATGGCTACTACAGTTGCAGTGAGCACAGCTGGGGGACAGGCATGCAGACAAACTCTCTGAAATATATAGTAGATAGCTGTCCCTTTCTCCACCTCTGCCCCCATAGAGATAGCTGTTCTGGTTCCCATCTCTGGCCCCTTGCTGCCCCCATGTGGTCATTATACAGGTTTGATCTGAGGAAGTGGGTCTGGCCCACGAAAGCTCATCATCTAATAAACCATCTTGTTAGTCTTTAAAGTGCTACATTGTCCTGCATTTTGCTTCAACTACCCCAGACTAACACGGCTACATTTCTATCACTATTATACAGTATAGTTGTCCCTGATAGAAGAACCCTCCATTTCCATGTTAGGAGAAACAATCACATTCCAGCCACATCCCTTTGTTCAGGCACAACCAAACTCTGGTTGTGATAAGAGGAAGTTGCATACTGTATTTGGTGGACAAACACAAACTCTCTCAAATATATAGTAGACAAAGTACAGGCCTGATCTAGTGACTTCTATAGAGCTAGACTGAAGTCTCTCTGTTGGGGGCGGGGGGAGAAAGATTATGTCTGGTGATGAACTCCAATCTATTATCCAGGAAAATCTCATTAACGTATAAAATTATGGAATTTGGGCATATAAAGTTCATATCTCTGAAAACAACAGGTTCTTTTCTCAGTTCAAATAACAGATCAAGTGTTATTTTTGAAACTCACTTTTTGTCTAATATTCCATTTTTATTTTATTCCACCACTAGAGAGGTTGTTTGTATTTGTCTAGTGATATTTTTCCCAATCAGCATATGATGGAGTGGCAGTAGCATAGGCCTGGATCAATGTTCTGGGCTCTTTGTGAGCATTTCTGCCTAGGTCAAATTGGGAGAAAATTGATTAGCACTGGCTAATTAACCCGTTAACAAGGGATCCAGCTCATTGTCTAGGAACTGTTAAATGGGAGACAGGACAGGAGAAAAAGGAGGCTGGGCAAAGAAGTTCAGGATCTTCAGCCTGGCCTATGTTAGAAAATTAGGTTGGCATAACTATTTCATTGGGGTGTATGAAAAATACAGCCTCCCCCAAGTGGTGCAGTTAAGTCAACTGAAGTCTCTGCATAGACAGCACTAGGGTGATGAAATAATTCTCCCATAGACTTAGCTGCTGCCTCTCAGAGTGTGTCTAGACTACAGGGTCTTTTTGAAAAAAAGTAGCCTTTTTTTCAAAAAAACTTCACCTGCATCTAGACTACAGCCGCATGCTTTTCTCTATCATGGTAAGCCTCAGTTTTTTTGCACGGTAAACCTCATTTTAGGAGGAATAATGCCTTTTTTCAAAAGTACTCTTTTGGAAAAAGATGCTTTTTTTGAAAGAGAGCATCTAGACTCTTTTGAAAAAGCAGCTTGCTTTTTTGAAAAATCTGTTTGTAGTCTAGATGCTGTCTTTCAAAAGAGGCTTTTTTAAAAGATTCTTTTGAAAGAGGCTTGTAGTCTACACACAGCCTCAGGGAAATAGATTCCTATACCGATCCCTTTTGTTGATATAGGTTGCACCTAAACCACACAGTGGTGGGTCTGTGCCACCATACTGTTTTAAGTATCGATGAGCCCTTAAAAAGATGAGATCTTTTTCCTCCTCCAGTACCTAAGGGGTACCTGTAGCTTGAGAGAATTCTTATGGTGATAAGACATACTGCTTTATAAGACATTGTGGCTGTGTCTACATTGGTGTGATCTTGCACAAAAGCAGCCTCTTTTGCGCCAAAACTTGCCTGTCTACACTGGTGGGAGAGTTCTTGCGCAAGAACGCTGACGTTCTAATGTATGAAACCAGTGCTTCTTGTGCAAGAACTCTGATGCTTCCACTCAGTAATAAGCCCTCTTGCGGAACTGTTCTTGTGCAAAAGGCCAGTGTAGACAGGCAACATGAATTTCTTGCGCAAGAAAGCCCTATGGTTAAAATGCCATCAGAGCTTTCTTGTGCAAGAGAGCATCTACACTAGCATGGATCTTCTTGCACAAAAGCACATCTCTTGCGCAAAGGCACATGCCAGTGTATACGCTCTCTTCTGGAAGAGTTTTTGCACAAGAACTCTTCCGCAAAAGAGTTCTTGCGCAAAATCATGCCAGCGTAGATGTAGCCACAATGTAAAATACACTATGGTGAACTTACATAAGAATGTCCGAGGCCTGCTTGCAAGAGAAAAACCAGGATGAAGTAGCCAATTCTGTGACAGGAGAATAAGGACCAATAGGAGGAAATGTTGTCATTTGTGAGTTGAGGGGAGATGTAGGTCTAGAAGAACCTACAGAGGGAGATGATGATGTTGGATTTTTAGAGGGCTCTTTAACCTGTCAGACAAAGGCATAATGAGATCCAGTGGCTGGAAGATAGTTAAATAGGGATACCATATTTGAACATTTGGACACTCCTGAGTGGGAGTGTATCTGTATCAGTATCTACCAACTCATGTTGTATTAATGTGTTATATTAGACTCTATACAACAAGTAACAGAGAGTCAACAACATGAGAATATAATATAAAAAAGTATACAGCACGCACTCAGAAGACACTGAATCAGACTCACTGACTGACCTTGTTAGCTCCTCTGTTCTTACCCTGTTGCCGCATTTGCACCGACAGATACACCAGCTCCCCAGGCTCACTGGCTGAGCCCTCCTCCCCCACCTTCTGCGCAGCAGCTGGGCTGTGCCTTACCTAGGGTGCTGTTGTTGCAGGGGTGGGTGGGCTGACTTCACTGGGGAGCCCCAGCTGCTGCTCCTGCTGTCCGCTGTGGTGACCCGAGCATGGGAGCCATGGCCACTCGGACACCAGCTGCTGCTTCTCTGGTAACTGCCAGTGCTGCTGCAGCAGTGGCTGCTCCACTTGCACAGGAAGCCAGGTTTGGGAGCCAACAAACTCATCCCTGTGCATGCCTTGCTGCTGCTGCTGCTGCTACCTCTGCTGGCTCTCATGGTACAAGGGGATGCCGTGTGCCAGGCTCCTGCTTCCCCACCACACTGACCCAAGATGTGCAGCAGCATGGGCTCCAGCAGCACTGCCAACCAACTGGCAGCCCAGGCTGCTGCAGGGCAAATGCAACCATTGCTCCCCCAGAGCCAGGCACCCCCAGCATGCGTGCTCTAACCCACCCCTCTCCCAGAGTCAGGCACCCCCAACCCTCCTGCTCTAATCTACCTCTTCCCCCCAGAGCCAGGCACCCCCAGCTCCTCTGCTCTAACCCAATGCCTTTCCCTTCCCACAGAGCTGGAGACATAACCTAGCAGGGCAGAGGGTAATGTGGTGACTCTGTGGGAGGAGCCAAACCTGCTTCCCACATCGGATCTGCTCTGTGTCTCGCTGGAGCCACCATGCACTAGAATGTGTGCAAAAAGCAGCTATTAGCAGTCTGAACATGCAGCCTCAAATGTTCCATTTGACAGGCACGTGCCCCCCACCTCTCCCTGCTCCCCCTCTGCAGGGCAAAATCATGGACATTTTTAGCTATTTAAAAAGCCTACCCGGCTGGAGATTTAAGGAGTGAAAAGGAGGACGTATCTCAGAAAAACCAGATGTATAGTAACCCTAAAGTTAAAATAATTCATATTGGGAATAAAATAAACCCTTTTAAACTGTGGGTTGTTAACCAATGGAACAGATTACCAAGCTTGATAAATTCTGCATCCCTTGTACTCTTATGGCCTCAGGTTAGCCAGGTGCTGACTATAATGTGTACTTTGCTGAATTGGGGCATCTGCCAAGTTTGTATGTTTTCTGGAAAATCCTCTGGTTTGACTGCAAGTGACATTGGGCTTGTTAGCACTTGGTTATATAGCAGGGAAAGGTAATTCCCTCCAAAGTAGGAATGACCCAATTAACATAGGCCAGAGAATTTAAACAACTTCAGACTACAAGATCCAAGCCTTAGCAACTATACATCTATAAAAAGCTATGAGACCCACATTTTTTAATCTGACATCCATGGTTATCTACAGCTCAATACCCTAACTTTCAAAATCAGTAGCTACTTTTGAAAATATTGATGTCATATGTAACTTCTGCAATCAGATACTTCGGCAATAAGATATAATCAGGCTGGAAGAATTTCACAATAATCATGACATTCAGGTTTCACAGAATGTTAATTTATTTCACTACTGTGATTGACAGCAGTGCCTTTGAGATAATGAAAAATATTAGCAAATAATTACTCATAGAGAAGGTGTGGGCTAATGGTGTGAGCATGGGGCTAGATGCCAGGAATTTCTGGTGTTAATCCTGTGACCTTGGGCAAATTGTTTAAGCTCTCAGGTTTCCCATCTGCTTCATAAGAGCCTATATTGAGGCTTGATTAATATTTGTAAAGTGTTTAAAAGGTGAAATGGGTTAAATCTTATTCCTATGAGATATTTATAAAAATGCAGTGGGGGGAAACTCTGTTCTCAAGTAAAACCATTTAAATCAGTGCTACTACTTTTAAACTTACATCAGTGGAACAAATCAGAAGTGGGCTGCAAATGTTTTGTTATCTGTATACACAGTGACAAATTATGAATTTCTAGCATGCATGAGCCATAGAAAAATGGAAAAGTCTGCTCCCTCTAGTGATCTGTAGGCAAAGGTGTATTTCAATAAAACAAAATATTTGCACATATATATGTTGAGTATTAAATGGTAGTACCAGTTAAATCAAGGCGGATCATTTCTTTATTTAAATAGACTTGCTGTGACAAACATTGAACAAAAGTATGGGGTGGCCACAGAGAAAAGCTGCCGAGAACAGGTTTGACTGAAGTGCTAATTTTGACATCACCCCACCAAGAGAGATTCTTCCCAGCCTTTCAAGTTTCAGGCCTCCTCTGAAGGCTTGACCTTTGTCCTAGACTTACCCACTGAGAGCGGAGGTCAGTTAAATTCTCATTAGATCAGAGCTGCATTATATTTCCTGAGTCTTAGAGCTATAAATGGGAAGGAACACAGGGTGGAAAAAGCTTTTTCTAAACCTCATCTCTTAAGAACTCCACAGCTTTCAGTGATGATCCATCAGTTTGAACAACTCATCACTTTCAGAATTTTGAAAAAGAGGGGGAATGTGTGTGTACGTGAAGTTGCCTAAATAAGTAGAGAAATAGTGAAGCTTCAGAGGCCCCACTGAATTAAAGGTTCTATTTATATTTCAGGTTGAGCTGTGGTTTAGTAATTTATAGTTTCAAGTTTTAAAAATCGTGAATTGTCTAGCCTGTGTTTTATGACTAATGCTGTTTTATATACATTTTCTACACTTTAAATCTTCCTCTTCCTAACAAACAACACTAGTAAGTAGGTCTAGGATTGTGCAATTAAAAATCTTGGCCTTTAGCAGTTTCTTGAATAGAAATTCCCCCTCTAATTGCTTACAGTTGCCTATTCATAACTGTTACTACAAGTGCAGTTACTTTAGTTTAGTCTAAACCTTCCTATTTAAAAAAAGCCCTTATTAAGGCATTTGGAAGCCCACACAATCTTTTCTTTACTCCTGCTGTTTTTGAATTCTGTCTACTGCATAAGGCTGAATCCTGCCTTGAATTACGTCACCCTCCTTTTATTTGATGTAAATCAGAACAGAATTTGGCCCATAGCCTCAGTCTTTAAACACTTGAGGGGGTGAAAATATTTTTTCCCTTTCTCGGATGGTGTTACTGTATTATTTGCATATTACTAATTTCAGATACTTTTGGCAAAGAAACTTGATGATCAAGAGACCTTCTGGGCAAATTCTTTTCGTAATTATACCCCCAATGGATAGGATACGTCATTGGGGCCACATGAGTGTGAGAGAGCAGGTTTTGGCCCATCATCACTTTGCCACTGCCATTGTGGGAAACCATGCTGAGTGGAAAATATTCCAGTTCTGGATTCTACTATTGTTAAAAAGTCAGATCAATATACTCTCTTTATAGGAAAAAAGAGAAGTTTATTGCAGATCAAGTGGTATTCATACATTACGTAACTACAGTGTATTCATATACAGGCAGTCCCCGAGTTACGCAGATCCGACTTACATCGGATCCGCAGTTACGAACGGGGCCGTCTCCCTGGTCTCCAGCAGACCAGGGAGAGGAAGCAAAGCCAGGGAGCATGCAGGCAGCGGACAGCCCAGACGCGTCTGGGCTGTCCTCTGCCCGCGTGCTCCGCGGCTTTGCTCTGCTTTGCTCCCCGTCCCCCTGGTCTGCTCCGCATCTTTGCTCTGCGTCAGACCAGGGAGACAGGGAGCAAAGCAGAGCAAAGCCGTGGAGCCCGAGGGCAGCAGGACAGCCATGGCGTGTCTGGGCTGTCCCGCTGCCCCTGTGCTCCGTGGCTTTTCTCCGGTCGCCTGTGGTACAGCAGCTGGGGCGCTGCCGGTTGGTCCCGTAGCGCCGCTCTGGGCGCTACTGGACCAACCCAGCAGCACCCCAGCTGTTCTGCCCCAGGCGTCCTGATTCAGCCACTGCTGGTCAGTTTCAGCAGCGGCTGAAAGTTTCGCCTTACATACAGATTCAACTTAAGAACAAACCTACAGTCCCTATCTTGTACGTAACCCGGGGACTGCCTGTAGTCAGTCTCTCTCTCTCTTGTTCTTTTTAGTGACAGATTTACCATACAATGGATTTGTCTTTTTAAAATTAAGAGCTATATGAGACCCACAGAATAAGTAGGTTAAGGGACCCAGGATAAACCCACAGAGATAGGACAAAGAGCCCAGGACACTAAATGAAGATTTCTTTACATTCACACCTGAGATGGGAAGAACTGAGTGGGCCACAGAGGCAGTGGCCTAGGAAATCCAAAGCAATTGGGGATTAGTGAAGTAATTTTGTCCTGTCATACATGTTCCAGAAGCTCAAAAGACAGGAAGGCTTGAGGGACTGGTAATGAATCCTCTTTTACAGGTATAGCTTTGAATTTGAGTTCAAGTTCTCAATTGCTAATAATCACACATGCTTAGTGGTGAAATAAGTTGGCTGTGTCAGGCCAGTTCTCATGACTCAGAATCTATTAGGGTTGCCATATGATTTCAACAAAAATACTGGACACACTTGACATTACATCACAATCTACAGTACATCTTATTTAGAAAATACCGGACATTTATATTTTCTCAATTTATTTCCTGAACAGAAAGCTCAAATACTGGACTGTCCGGTTCAGAACCGGACACCCGGCAACCCTAACTCTGTTAACTAACACCAACTGGAAATGTTTCTGGTAGTCCCAGAAGAGTGGCTATGGAAATGAATAGGCATAGAAACTGAACTACTTTCCCCTCTTGATCTTTCCAGCTATGGGTTGAGGTGCATTTGTGTGAAGTAGCGTGGTAAGTTATTGATGGAGAACTGTTGTATCTACAGAGTTGTCAGTGTGGCCCCCCTTAATGATAACTTAAAAATGTAGGCCTTAGTCTTGCAGAAATTTAAGTATGTGGATAACTTCGCATAGCTGAATAGTCCCAATGACGTTTGTAGATGCTTAAGTCCTTGCTGTATTGGGGGCTAAAACTGTAACCTTTCCATTCAGTAGATTTATTTGAATGTGCAGCCCTGATACTCAGGTCAAACATTTAAATAAATATGGCAGTGCATATTTCTTATTTGAGCTGTAACAACTCGAATAAGAAATCAGTAAAATATGTATTTCCCTTGTTTTTAAGAGCCCAGGAACTTGAAATTAAAATATTTAATGCAAAGTTAAGGTAAATAGTTTAATAGCAAAAATATAAGAAAGTTCAAAGTGATGGTACGGATTGACAGATTTTAAGGCCAGAAGGAACTGTTATGTTCACCTAGTCTGACCTCCTGCATAATGCACGCTAAAGCACTCCTACTAATTCCTGCATCTAACCCATATCTTGTGATTGAGGTTGAACATATCTTTACACCAATCTTGACATTAACACCATACATGAGGGAGAAAATACCACTTTCCCTGATAAATTGTCCCAGTGGTTAATTAAAAATTGAAAACCTGGGCCTTATTGCTAGGCTGAATGTATCTAACATGTCTTCAGCAATTATAATATGTTGCATGTAGATATACTGAAGTGTCAATATTAGTCTGCCATACAAGAGTGCATTATATCCAGAGCCACAAGAAAAATACTTCTAG